ATTAACAAAAGATGGACTGGGTGGGGGCAGGTAGGGACTTAATGCTTTTTATGATCTATTTTAACATTTTTATCTCTCCTTGAAAAAATAAATTTTCCGTAAGAATTAAAACTGTATTTTATCCTTTGAAATGCAGCCCTAGATGATGTATGTGACTGCATTGGCGGCAAGTCAAGTCTGCACAAAGCCCAAATTGAATCTTCCTTCTGACTACAGCTGTGCATGATATTTTATGCAATTTTTTATGCTGGTCATAACCGAGGTGGAAACTGTGATTATGCCAATTTTTGAATAACACATTTTCACCAAAAAGTGACTGCCAGTGTTCCAACATGTGTATGTATTTACAGGATCCAGCCCTTCTTTTCACATCACGAGATTGTGGGCTGTCGACCCCATGACAGATTTCTAGGTGAACTGCTATAGGCACTTAATATTCTATTGTTGTAGGACACAGGATTGCAAAAATGTATCATGATTTCCTCTTGCTATAATATCTGTTTGGCAAAATATCACCCCTGAGCAACTGAATATGCTGAAGCGGAGGGTGGGATTTCATTGTAAAAATAACTCAGTTTATTACTATTCCATTATTTATCTGTATCTGTATCTGCATTACATCCATATCTAGACAAAGACTAAAATGAATGGAAAGGAAGAATTCAAATATGCTTACAAGAATTTGCCCTGGTATTATAATATCATATTCCACTGTTACATAAAATGGTACTAAGAAAGAAGAAAACTACTACCTAAAGATCAGAATTTGCTGCTTTTCTGTTTCTTTTACACTTGATGTAATACAGATGCTTTTTGTCTATGTTTGGTATTAACACAGAGATTACTGTTAGACAATTTTAGTTGGGTGGCTGCAGAGGGAAAAATTAAAATGTTAAGTAAATGATTACAAAAACATAAACCTTCGATATGAAACTTAACAACTGCTTGTCCAAATTAACAGGGCATTACATTTAGAGCTGTAAAGATGAAGCCATTTGCATGAGTGTGTGTATATGGGCCTAACCATCAGTCAGTTCTCATTAATAAATCCCCAAGCCAAAGATATTTGCTCTACCAACATCCTGCTGTCATCTCCAAAGACCACCTCTGGCAGCTGATGTCCCATCAAGTTGCTGACTGAACTGAGGAAACTATCTGACTAGCAGAGGGCAATGTGGTTTCTGCTGGTCATATTGAAGGGGAGACATCATACACCTGAGAATTTTTCTTTAGAGCTTTCTGGAAGATTTAAACCAGAAATTGAGCACTTCTGAGGGGTGCTAAAATGATACTCTTGCATTGTATGGAGGATTCTGTTTTATAACTTGTAAACTTTTCCCAACTTGAGGATCATTTATTCCATGAAGGAGAGATGGCTTAATAGAATCATCAGTAGCAAGCTTTGATTGGCACTAAATAGGTCCTCCAATATTATATGTTGAATAGCTGAATGAATGAGTGAATGTATGAATAACAGATACGGTCAGATATTATGTTGGACTCTCTTCCATTCATGTCACAGATCTAAGGAACAGCAGTAGTGAAAATCTTTTGTCATGTTATGAATGTTTGCATGTAATTTGTCCCTGAAGATTAAATGTCAAATGAGAATCTTTCTCTCTCTGATGTCAGCCTGATGGTAAAATGAATCATACATTTTACATTTTCAGGAACATTGCCCAGGACTGTGATTTCAGCATTCTGGACATCATTCAGTAATCAGCTCACAAAACTAGTCACTTGGCTTGCATGATTTTGTTGGACGTTTCTGATTGGGAGGGCCAACTGATGGCATTTCAAGTTGAAGGAAGCACTGCCTGAAGGTCAGGGGAAAGGTCTAGTGCATGAAATGATTGAGGAGACATTGGTGGGTCTCCTTGACCTGACAGTAATCACTTGTCTGACCAAAATGACATTCATTTCCAAAATATTACCATCAGAGCTAGGCTGCTTCTAAGGTTTCCCTTGTGCAATAATCTTTTATCTAACAGAGTCTAATGACCAAGATGCAGCCTTCCTTTTTCAACAGGGCTGTGCAGCCTTTATCTACTCATAATAGTTGGACTACTACCACTCCAGTAGATTCTATAAACATTCAACCTTGAAAATCACCAGAGTTTCAGGGAATTCTGTAAGAAGCCAGCCTTGAAAAACCAGTGATGGTTCAGGAGGGACTTCTTAGCACATATTTTACTTAGATACTGTACTTTATGTGATCATTTTACTTCTAGCTATAATTCATCATGCCAACCTTGACACATAAAGTCATAAATGATTCTATTTCCAGTTATAGTCATTTATGCATTCTTCTTGTGGTCTACCACTTTGTATGAGGAAACTGTTACTTTTGATAGCTCTTAGGTTTGAAATTCTTGGGTGTCGGCCACATGTTCTCACTCACAAGTGGGTGTTGAATAATAAAACACATGGACACAGGGAGGGGAGCCTCACACACCGGGGCTCACCGGGGTGGTAGGGGGCGAGGGGAGGGATAACAGGGGTGGGGAGATAGGGAAGGGATAACATTAGAAGAAATACCTAATGTAGATGACAGTGTGATGGATGCAGCAAACAACCATGGTACCTGTATACCTATGTAAATAAACCTGCACGTTCTGCATATGTATCCCAGAACTTAAAGTATAATAAAAAAAATTATTGGGTGTGGGAATTAATGCATCTACTCTTGACTTTTACATTTGGTCATTGGTTTGCAACATGAACCCTACTGTTCATCAGCAGGTACCTGTATGTTGACAAAAAAATTCTGGAAAGGGATAGCAATTTTTTTTTTCTTTACTTTTAAGTTCAGGGGTACATGTGCAGGATGTGCATGTTTGTTACACAGGTAAACGTGTGTCATGGGGGCTTGTGATACAGATTACTTTGTCACCCAGGTATTAAGTCTATTATCTACTAATTATTTTTCCCGATCGTCTCCCTCCTCCCTCCACCTTCCAGCAGTGTGTGTGGGGAGGAGGAAGTATGTGTCCATGTATTCTCATCATTTAGCTCCCACTTGTAAGTAAACATGTGGCATTTGATACAGTGAAAATTTTGAAGTGCAAATGATTCTTATCACCTCACAGTAGCATAGGTGTCCTAAGGTACTGTGAACTTGGCAAATGAAAGATATGCTGGCTTATTTTTGCTTGGGCAGGTAGCAACACATTTGTTTTAATCAGTCTTGTGTATATTATATGAAACCATAATCAAATGATATCAAGATTGCAATCAAATAAGATCAAGTGAAATGGATAGTTCATTTGTGTGAGAGAGAGATGGTTTGTAAATAATGTGTCTCAAAAAAAGAAACACTAATGAGAAGAATAAGCATTAAGTTCATGACTCATTAGGGATTATGACCAGGTATATTGCGTGTGTGTGTGTTAGTGTATGTGTGTGTGTAGCTATTATTACATCCAATTCAACTTTATTACACTTTCAGTTTAAATACTGAAGGATTTCATGAGATCATATACCTGCTGTGGAGAAATATGTATTTTCCAGAGATGTGTGTTAGTATGCTGAGACTGCCATAACAAAATACCACTGAGTGACTTAAACAACACACATTTATTTCTCTCAGTTTTAGAAACTGGGAAGTTCAAGATCAAGGTGACGGCTAATTCAGTTTCTCATGATGACCCTCTTTTCAGTTTGCAGATAGGCACCTTCTTCCTGAGTAGTCACATGGCAGAGAGTAAATGAGAAAGAGAAATCTCCCCAAATCTCTCTCTCTTCCTCTTCTTGGAAGGCCACAGTCTTACTCAGTAGGTCTCCACCCTTACGACCTCTTTCAACCTTGATTATCTCCTAAAGTCTCTTTCTCCAGGTACAATCACCTTGGTGATTAGGGCTTCAACATGAATTTGGAGGGGAATAGAAATTAGTCCACAGTGGTTTGGCTACAAATTTTCATTTCTTTGTTACTTTACCAATTTTTCTTTTTTGAAACAAGGTCTTGCTCTATTGCTGAGGCTGGAGTACACTGGCGTGAACATGACTCACTGCAGCCTTGGCTTTCTGTGCTTAAGTGATCTTCCTGCCTTGGCCTCTATGTAGCCACGCTTAGCTAATTTTTAAATTTTTTCATAGAGATGGGATCTCTCCATGTTGCCTGGGCTGGTCTCAACCTCTGAAGCTCAAGTGATCCTTTCTCCTTGGCCTCCCAGAGTACTGGGATTGTAGGTATGAGCCACCATGCCCTGCGTTACTTTAACACATATTACCTATAGGTTCAAAGTGTTATGTTGGTGGATACATTCATTGCAGTCTTCCTGTCTCCAGGTCAAAAACTTAATTGCATTTGTAAAGTACCCTTTCCCATGTAAGGTAACATAATTACAGGTTTTGTGGGTTAGGATGTGGACGGACATTCAGGGTTATCTTTATTCTGCCTCCCACATGAGCCAAGGATAGAGCAAATCTAGAATACATTCATTTAGTAATTATATGTTAGGGAATAAATAAGTGCCAGGCAATATACTATATGTGTGTATTTTTAAATGGTTAAGAATGAGATTCTGGCTGACTGAAAGAGCCACTGGGCTTTATCTGTGAGGATCAGTACAAGCTCTAAGTTTAAAATGAATTTTCTCTTCAGTACTTGATATTAGATTGACAACTCCTTCCTAGAACTGATGAGAGAGGAAACTAGAAGTAAGTTAATCGACTACATAAAATTTTAAGTAGGGAAGAAGAAAATCTCGGAACCACAAAGTACCTTGTCCATGTTACATAGAAGGATAAATTGAATGATACAGTGTGGGGGAGACACTGGAAATAACATTGTCTTCTTAAAAGATTTTCTAGAACTAATAGAAAGCGGTTCCAAATAGAGGGGCCAGATAACATATAAAAGAATTAAATATTTAATACCTACTCATTAACGCATAAAGGGAATAAATTACATTTTCTAAACATTTCAGCACAGCCACAGAGACCAAAAGTACAAACATAGTTGATCATCACAATCTCTGATAGTTATTTCAGCTTACATCTGGATCCCACTAATAAGTTATTAGGACCCGAAACTTCAGAATGAGTAGCAACTGGCTTTCTGATTCTGAAAAGAGAGGGGCAGAATAAAATTAAAATGAAGATTGGGATATAAGAGATTTAATTTAAAAGCAAGGGCCATCAAAATAGAGTCAGGTGCTTCTATACCAAAATCTCGTGTATTTTGCAATCCTGTAGTTTCAAGCGGGATCTTATTGTAGTAGTTCATTGTTACATAAATTATAAAGTATATTTAGCCAATACCTTTACTTGCAAAAACATCTAACTTTCATTTTAATATGGCATTCTGACCAAATTTGTTTCCTTCAAAAGGCCATCCTTTAAAGTGATAATAAAGAGATTAAAATACATATAAATCCACAATCATGAAGAGAATAGGAAGGAAGCCATTATCGGCAGAAAATGTCAACAGCTATTTGTTAGAAAGAAAATAATTGAGCTTTAAACTGGGGTAGAGAAAGTTATTGCTGAAATTCTGCAGTAAAGAGTTACAACCATAGAGTCAATATACCCTGGAGGACCCAGAAGAAATTCACTTCACAAAAACACCAGGAGGACCGGAGGAGACAGAGAGGAAGAAGATACTGAGAATGACTATATTCAAATCAGGGGCATTCCCTCTACTCCTCTGACCCTCCACTCCTACTTCCATCCAAATCTGCGATATCCAGGAGTCAAGGCTTTAACCTCCCAGGCAATGCAATATCATCAACGAACACATTTTTTTTTTTTTTTTTTTTTTTTTTTTTTTTTTTAAGTAACAAAGTTCTTCTTTAGAGAAATAGAAAAAAAAGTCTGTCTTGGAGGTGTATAGGCTGTGTCTTGGGAACTAGAGACTAGAATAGCGAGCAGAGTTACAATAGCTAGTATAGATTCAAAAGCAAAATATATAAATTTTATTAAGTAGGAATCTCCCAGCAAAATAGCCGTATATTACCATTTTGTCTCTTGCCTCATGTTTAAGCATGAATATACAGTCAAAGGTGTAATACACATTTTAGGAAAATTCAGTCTCAGTTTAGATGTGAGCAGTTGATATGGGAGGTAATTTCTAGAAATGCCAGTGTGCAAGTGGTGAAGAAAGACTGAGGAAGGAGACCCTAATCCTCTTAAGCTTCTCAGAGTCCTTCCCCCTAGACTTCTACATTGCATTTCAATAGAAGTAAAGGCTGGCAGACTCTGGCGCCACCCTTAATCACACTCCTATAGATTGCAGGCAAGGTATGGAGGAATCTTTCGGGAAGGCATAGCTTTTCCTTAAACACAATGAAACCGCCACTAAGTCGTGTTCCCCACGCCTATTTCAAGGATCGAGACCTTTTCACTTGTAATTTCTAGAATTGGAAGGATTTAAAAGGGCAAGGATTTTCTCTGTTGAGGAGCTCAGCTGTTAGGCAACTATGCCACTGCGGCTGCTGCTGCTCCTGGCGGAATAAATCACCCCTTCCTTCCCAGTCTGGTGTCCAAGAGGTTGGTTTCCTGGCCTTTCCTGCTTCAAGACTAGGAAGGGAAAGAGGCAGTGAGAAATCCCTCCTCAGAGTGATTCCAGAGAAGGGTAAGCATCCTGTGGCCTTCTCTGCCCAAAAAATGAAAGAGAAAGACAAGGTAAGGCAAGGCAAGACAGGAAGGAGGGAAGGGAGAAAAGAAAGGAAGAAGGAAGAGAAAAGGAAAAAGAAAAGAAAGAAAAAATCATTGAGATATGGAACTCTTTCAGGGAATGGTTCAGAACTTCCACAGTAAAACTCGGATTAAATTCTCCGGTAGATTTGCAAAACAAAAACAGAAACAAAAAAAAATTAAAACAAAAATTCTCTCAAAACCTTCATTAGAAAAGAACAGGATATTACATACAAACTAAACACAAAAAACTTGAAGGAATGCTTGGGATTTAAAATAATACTTTCACAAATTCATGGATGCCTTAGAAGAAAAGTCAAGAATTTTTATGAAAAAAGGAAAATACAGGGAGAAGGAAATGGGAAATTCTAGGATAAAACAAACACTACACTGATTATATAGGAAGGGAAATGTAATTGTAGTTAACTACTTGGTTGTTAGTGAAAAATATCAATAATCTGTTAATATTTCCATTACCCTATTAATACAGCTTGGCAGGAAACTGTAAATGTTATTAACCTTGACAATGAAAAGTAGAAATGGCAGTTTGGGAGTAGGCAGGGAAAAGTGGAATGAAAAGGGGAGAGACAGTGGCACCTTCATCTTACCGAATAGGGATCCAGAATTTCTACAGTTTTGTACTTAGAAATAGGGCCAGGTGTGGTGGCTTGTGTCCATAATCTCAGCACTTTGGGAGGCTGAGGTGGGTGGATTACAAGGTCAGGAGTTCAAGACCAGCCTGGCCAACATAGTGAAATCCTGTCTATACTCAAAATACAAAAATTAGCCAGGTGGGGTAACATGCGCCTGTAGACCCAGCTACTTGGGAGGCTGAGGTAGGAGAATTGCTTGAACCCAGGAGGCGGAGGTTGCAGTGAACTGAGACCACATTATTATACTCCATCTTGGGGACAGAGTGTGTCACAGTCTCAAAAAAAAAAAAAAAAAAAAAAAAAAGAAATCTAAGTATATTATTTAAAAGTGCACACGAGTAGTGGAAACTTAAGCCCTTACATTAATGGGCTTTTTAAACAATGTGAATATAGTATCTAATAAGATTTTGCTTGAATTATGTTAAAGAAAAAATGTGAGTAGCTGCAAATTCCTTGAAATGTATTCACCAGAAAAGAAACAGGCTATGTGCCATCTAGTTGAAAACAGAGCCTACTTTAAGTTCATGACTGTCTCTAAGGCTAATTTAATTATCTCTTAATTAGTCATGTGATGCTATCACAAACATTTGCCCTTAAACTATAAATTATCTATAATAGTGAGTTTGATAGGCAACATATATTTCTATTGAACAGCCTTAGAGACAGTCATGAACTTAAAGTAGGCTCTGTTTTCAACTAGATGGCACATAGCCTGTTTCTTTTCTGGTGAATGCATTTCAAGGAATTTGCAGCTACTCACATTTTTCTTTAACATAATTCAAGCAAAATCTTATTAGATACTATATTCACATTATTTAAAAAGCCCATTAATGTAAGGGCTTAAGTTTCCACTACTTGTGTGCACTTTTAAATAATATACTTAGATTTCTTTTCTTTCTTTCTTTTTTTTTTTTTTTGAGACTGTGACACACTCTGTCCCCAAGATGGAGTACAATAATGTGGTCTCAGTTCACTGCAACCTCCGCCTCCTGGGTTCAAGCAATTCTCCTACCTCAGCCTCCCAAGTAGCTGGGTCTACAGGCGCATTGTTACCCCGACCTGGCTAATTTTTGTATTTTGAGTATAGACAGGATTTCACTATGTTGGCTGATTTTTGTATTTTTAGTAGAGACAGCATTTCACCATGTTGGCCAGACTGGTCTCAAACTTCTTATCTCATGATCCACCTGTCTCAGCCTCCCAAAGTGCTGGGATTACAGGTGTGAGCCACAGTACCTGAACTCGATTTTATATTTTTAAATAAATAAATAGCTAATTTTCTCCATTGAACATTAATAAAAATTAGAAAATTTCCAGTAATTTTAATCACCCAGACATAACCTCTGTTAATATTTTAATGTATTTCTATTCTTCTTTCTATATACTTAGGCACAGACTTTTTAAAATTTGGAAAATTCATATTCCATTATTCACAAAACATTGTATCACAAGCCTTTATTTCATTAACATGTTCTTTAGAAATATTTTTATTAGCTCCATAATAGTCGACCAAATGAATGATCAATACATATTTTAAACTTGACTCTTAACATTTATGTTATTTCTAACTCTTGATATTACAAATTTATTATAAAATTTTCCATGATAAATAACCTACTATATAAAGCCTTCCCTTCATTTTTTAACATTGCTTTAGAAAAAAAAATTCCTAGAAGTAAAATTATTGAGTCAAAGCATGTGATAATTTCTAAAGGTTTTGATATGTATAGATAAATTGCTCTGCAGAAAGATACAATTCGTAGTCCCAAACATTGGGTATTAAGATTTTAATAAGTTCCTAATAATAATCTAGGAATTAAGGGTATAGGAGACATACAAATCTCATTTTGTATTTCTTTGAGCTGCTTTGTGTTTATTAGCCATTAGTATTGTTCATATGTGATTCTGTATGTTGATGTCTCTTTCTCACCTTCATTGGTATTTTGATATTATAGATCTATAAAAGCTTTTCACGTGCCAGAAATATAAATCCTTCATCTATATACTTGTTTGATTTCTACATTTTTACCCAAATAAAGGTCACTATATATCTTTAAAGTGGAAGGATAAATTTTAAATATGTCTATAGGAAACAGCCTTTTCAAAGACTAAAGATAGAAACATGAGACAATATCTTTCAAATTCTTCATTAAACTCTCCTTTCTGAGAATTTGTTATTGTTGTTAGAATTAATCATATGTATAATATTTTCATACATATTATTAAGCAATAAAGCCAGATTAGTGGATATGGAAACAAGAGAATCATCTTCCCAGCACTCCTAACTACCCCTTTGGCCCCTCTGCCCACCTTCCCCACCATTTCTAAGAAATTTGGAGATTTAAAAAAGTCTCCAAAAACTAAAGAACTAGTTTGGAGCTTGGATCATGTTAAGCACTCTTACTAGAATACTGGATCTGTAGGAACATTTTTTTATACTTTTATCTGTCCTTCTCTTCCCACCATTCTTAGGTTTTGCTTTTTTTCTTTTAATGATTGGGAATGACATTCAGTTGAATACAGGGCCAGAACATAATCTACAATAAAGGATAATTTTATAAGACAGTTACAATTTTCTCAGTCACTTTTTCTATGGTAACTCACAATGCCAATTAATTTCTTAATTCATTAACAATGTAACAGAAGAAAAGACTTTGAAAACACTGTGCTTTGTGTGAATGTCTTTTAATTATGGCTAATTAAATACTGTGCAAGAACCTGATTATACCTTTGAGTAT